AATTATTAAGAACTCACTTAAAAAAAACTGGGATATCTGAATATTTCTAACTCGAAGATGCCACGGTGACGCAAAAATAATGGAAATTGAAAAGTCTGACTATTCAAATTGTGATTAACCAAAATCAATATTTATACATCATTATATATAGAGAAAACATAACTTTTTAAGGTTTAAAATAAGTTTCATACTCAGACTAAATGAATATTTGTCTTTAAAATTCTTTATCCTGTTCGTATTCAATGAAAGATTCTAAAGTCAAGGCATTGGCTGCTGCCTGGGCACGCGGGGACCACGAGTTGGCAGAGACACTGTTACAGAGGAAGGAACTATTTAGTGTGGTGGAGGTGTCAAAAGCGATTGCTTTATTGGACTCGGGAAGACAAGCAAGAGTGTTTGAAAAGAAACACAAGAGACTTCAAATTCAGAAAAATAATGTGACACCGAGTACGATGGGAAAACTGAAATCCGACATAGACAACTTGATGAAATTGAAGCCCTCGGTAATCACAGTTAAATGCCAGAAATTCTTTTTTTTTTTTTTTTTTTTTTAAATATTATCAATGAATTAATGAGTAATTATAACATATATAATAAACACATATTAGCATTATGTTGTGTTTGATATATACAATTCTTTTACAGACTGGGTCAGCTAGCGGGGCGATATGTAAGCACGTGAAGCGGTGGACGCGCACCTTAACTAAACAGGAGTTAGAATTCTTTGCGCTTCATTTTCCTGTTGATTTGTGGAAGAGACTGGCTGATATATGTCATTTTCACCCTGTCAAGGTATAATGTCGTTTTCTACTAAATTATTACTGATCGATGTATTTCAGTTTAAAACTTCAGCTCGTCTAAGAGTACATGAAAGGTTATCTATATCCGCAAAGGAGCTTATTTCTGTATTGATAAAAATTAAACTTTGGGTTAAAAAGGTGGGTTTTTTTTATGTTTTGATATTTTTTTAAATAGATATTAGTGTACATTATAATTTCAATCATAAAACTTTGTTATTTTTTAAAATAGAATTTCAATAGTTAACAGCCGTTCTGTGTCATTAGAATATTAGTAACAATGGATATTTTTTACAGGATTTTTCCGTTCCGTGGTTTTTACCTTTCTGCTTCGGAGAGACCCCGCCAGAGGGCAGTCTAGTACACAAGTTTAGGAGCATCAGACAGAGCAACATTAATGAAGTTCTCCTTGATCATAACATCCCGTACACCAAAGTTAGACCATTCATTACCTATTTGACAGACGAAATAAAAGGAAAAATAGCAAAACACGAGGAAAAACTGGATACTATTTTATGGTTAGATGTCTTATTTCAATTATTAAAATTCCGTTTCTGTGGGTTAGAAAAATATTTTTATGTCACTTTAAACGTAGTTTTGATGGTGTGGACAGCCTTAAAGCTGACATGAACTCTTAAAAAGGCATCATTTTTCATCTTTGTACGACTTACTTCATTCCTGTACGCCTTTGTCCGCCATATTTCTTCGATTCCGCCATATTTAATCGAACATTTTTGGCCACTTGTACCTGCTATATATAGCCTTTTAGAACTGTTTCACTTGAGTGATTTTCTATCCCGGCTGTCGACATGTGCACATCTCCGATATCATAGTTTTAAGAGGAGTCCATAAACTGACCATGCAATACATGGTTGAAAAGTAAAAATTCAACAAAAACTAGAACTATACCGAGAATAAAATTATTTTTGAATGCATTTGCTGCAATATAGAAAATACACTTACATGGAAAACATTCAAGTAGAGCAAAAATTCCATGCAGGTCAGTCGAGAAAACGCGTCAAACGCAGTGATAGAAATATTTACCTGAATATATATATACTGCTATCGTTACAGGGATGTGCACATGTCGAAAGAATTATCCTATTTTACTTTTATTGAAAAATGCATCTCAGAAATCATGTTATCCATTGCTAACTCAACAGTAAAAAAAACTGCTTGGACACACGTGGTCCATGCCGATCATTTTATTTGTTCAGGGAAAATATCAAAGGTTGAAAGCGCCGTGGGGTTGACTGAAGAAAATGCAAATAATTTTTTTTTTCAAGAATAAACATTACTCTTGTCTGTAAATGGTGTAAATAAAATTTTTAAAACATGGTTTAACTTCATCAAATTTATAATAAAGCATGCATCATTACGAATCATTCAACTTTTGAAGATATGAAGATATTTTCCTGTGAAGGGGGGGGGGATAGAACATGCATATCCTCTCATAAAAACATTTTAAGAAAAACGTCCGAAACAGATGGGATTTCTTTATGATCAAATATAATCAAATAAATACTGTGTATTGGCTTTATTAGACAAAATATAATTTGATTTAAAGTTATTTATAATTTTATGCACAATGAAAGAAAAAGTGAGTAAATTCACATACCCCACGCTCCCACAAAAGTCGAAGTGCTGAAATTCACAGAAAAAATAAAGGAATCGTAATTTCCTTGTAATATGCACATCTATACACGTTGTGTCCTAATTATCTGCTAAGTTTGACGAAATTATATGCACCGGTTTATGAGGAATTGTGCTGACAAACTGCTCATCTTTATATTCAAGATATGGCCAAAATCTAAATGTAAAAGTGCGGAAATTCCCGAAAAAATAAAGATTTCGGAATTTCCTGGTGGTGTACAAATACAGACACATTGACTCCTATGAATATCAGCATAGTTCAACAAAACTCTGTGCATTAGTTTATAAGAAGTTGCGCTGCCCCCCCCCCCCCAAAAAAAAGGGCTGACTGATGGGTCCAAAACATGTTACCTCACGCAACTTGTTGCGCGGAGTATAATAAACTAGTTTGATTCTGTGGTACAATAATAATGAAATGATAATTTAATGTGAATTAAATTTCTAGACATAAGTAATTAATGATTACTAGAAAAAACAGATAAAAAGAGAGAGGAAACTCCCCGTGAGAAATCCACATTCTACCTACAATTAGCTTTTTAAAAATTCTCTTGTTTCTTGTCCAGGTTCAGCATTGAAGTGTCGGAACCGGGGGGGGGGGGGGGTTACAAATATATACTTAGTATAGACATTGAATATTGCTGCGTAGGTTTAGCCTCCCCATCCCCCCGCTTTTCACAGACAAGTCGCAGTATAAGTTAAAAAAGAGGAATGTGTTGGTGTTCGGAGAAAAAATTTGTTACTGAAGTTCGAACCCACCCCCACCCCCACCCCCCTTTCCCCCACACGAAATAGGAGATTTGTGTTTAGGAAAAGGACATTCCCCCTTTTTTTAAGCTTGACAGATATTTTGAATGTATAAAAAAATTTCTTTGCACTTAGCCCCCCCCCCCCCCCAGTTTCAATTTGCTTCCGACGCCAATGCGTTTGAGAAGGTATTTGAGAAAGTTCCCGATGTACCCATTCCTGTGATGTATATTTCACGTTTATTTTATCTCCCGCTTGAAAAGTGGGAGGGTATATAGTAATAGTTATGTCCGTCCGTAGGTCTGCTACGCTTTAGGATACCCATCTCCTATCTGCAAATCCTCTTATAACCATATGGGCGGCGGGGGTATCATTTAGTGAGCTCATTGCTCACAATACCTCTAGTTTAAAAACCCTTGCTCTGTCCTAAGGATTAATAAATGGACGGCACAAAGTGCGTAGGATCTTATACCTATTATTGTCCTAAGAGATGGTTACAGATGGTTACAGAGAGAGGGAAAGAGAGAGAGAGAGAGAGAGTTAGTTCAATATACAATTAGTAAATAAAATTATCCGTATTCAACCAGTGTCAAGACTTCGTATCTTAGCTTTTAGAATTATCTCCCAAATACTCCTACAGAGATAATTTTTAAATATAAAAAAAGTACCTACACTATCAGACAAGGATAGTGAAATCTCAAAAGCCTCTCTATAACACCATAATTATAAAACATTTATACATACCTCAAAATGCACATACATTGTGGTCGGAGTGACACATTTAAAAATAAAATTTTCAAAATTGAATTCGGTAGAGATGTCCGTCTTCCAAGAATATTTTGATAACGGTCATGTCAATTATTTTTGCACGCCCCCCCCCCCCCCCCCCACCCCGCCTAAAAAATCAAATGCCTAAATGTCAATCTGAACAGTGGATGGCATTTCTTCGTGTGTTTGTGTGTTAAAGAACGTATAGATCTATATACGCATAAAAAAAATATTCTGGGTCATTGCTTTTAAGATTTGAAGTAAATAATTGCCGTACATCAAATTACTTGGTTTAGATTTGAGATTAGTAATACAATTATCAGTTATAATCATGATAATTGACAAATGAATTTTGCGACGCAAACCAACTGCAGACTATATACATGACTTTGATTATAATGTATATTAGAACTACATGTAAGACAATTCACAATTATAGCTTCTGAACAGCAGTTATAACCCCCCCCCCCCTTCAGCCGCGCAAAAACCAAATAACTTCTCTTTCCACTTGTGATATTTTCCCTGACCAAAATATGATTAGCACGGACTAGGTGTATCGACGTGCTTGTCTGTACGGAGTAATGACAGTGTGTTTACTATTGAGCTTTTACGGAGTTTATTTCTTTATTGTGATGCATATTTCAATAAATGGAATTCAGGGTGTATATCACTTGACTTGTGCACATCTTCGAACCGATGCAGTAACCTTTTTACCAGGTACATGGGTACGTTTACAGCGTTCGAGGCGTTTTCTCGATATGCACCAATTGCATAGGGGCTGCAAATCAAAGACGTTGGTTGTTTTACGCCATTCAAATAATAATAATTTCAAAATGTGTTGCAGATTTTACTGCTTTTTATTTCAAGTTTATTCTGCATAAATTGTCGCACTGTAAAAATACGTACTCGTGCATCTAAATTTCTCACCAAACTTGCATTTCTTTTCTTTTGATTCAAATCAATAATTATTCAGGTTTATGATTATTATTTTGTTTATTGTGGTTTTGAAATGTCTTGATATCCTTATGTGATCTCATATATGCTTTACCATCGGAGATGTGCACAAGTCGATACCCAAACCAAAAAATCATTGAACTGTAACGAGCGCATTGGGGTATACATCGTTACAATGAGACAAGGTATCTGAAAGAAATATGGCGGAATACGGCTATCGTTGGTATGAAACAAGTCGTACATAGATGAAAATGTTGCGTTTTTAAGAATTCATGTCAGCTTTAAGGACAGCGTTAAAGCAACATCCTAGAAATGATAGATCGCCAAATGGCTAGTTACCGCATTGAAACTGATATCACGGGCACTGGAAGTTAGTGTAAATATATTGTATGTGTATGTATAAAAAAAAGAAGGGTAGGACACTCTTTTTGAGGCAAATTCGGGTTTGGGGTATTCTAGGCCTTTCTCAGAAAACTTGACGCGATTAATCGTTCAGATATAACTTACTTTAAATATATTGACTATTTCGTTCCGCTTCAATGCCGTCCCTTCGAAGGAAAAGATGTTTTTATACCCCCAAGTGCCTAAGAATTTCGCTAGATCAGTTCAGTTCAGTTCAGTTGTGGATTTCCCTCCTATGTATAAGGAGCACCCGAGAAGGTTGTTTCATAAAAGGCATAAAAATTAAAAATAAAAGAGATAAAGTGATGAAAAGACAGTAAAATCTATTCTATGTAGTGCTGTAAAATAAAGTTAGAGGTGAAAGACCAACTAAAAATAAAACAAGAATTTACATACTATACAGTAGCTTAACTCCTAAAGTAAAATTGTTTCGGCAAAACCACAATTAAAAGGAACTTTACACTTTTTCCATGACTGTTTCTATTTAAAAAATTATTTCAACTCTAAAAATAATTTTATATTCCTCTTTACCAAAAAAAGGAAAAATATTAAGGTCTGTTGGTTGTAGACTGTGTACTAATTTTTTTAATAATTTGAGCTCTATGGCAATGTAGAGCAAATACCATGTTGCGGCTCAGGTTCTCAATAAATATCTGAATTTTGTTGTTTCTGGATGGAATCTCTGAAAATGTGAAGTAGGAGGGGTCGATAATAATCTGTAGCAATCTAGTGTCCTCCAATAAGTATGAATTTGATTCCTGTGTGCCAATTTTTTCTTGCAGGTAATGACCTATTTTCATCAGATATGGCTGTCTAATAGAATCTAAGGTGGGACATTTTAGTAAAAAGTGTAATCTGTCCTCTGTGGTCTCTCTACATAACAAGCAGTCATTTTTCACTTTGTGTTGGTTAAATTTATTAATATTGTCCTGTAAGCGGTAGGTATTTGTTGCGAGTTGAGCTTTGACAATGGCCTTATTTGATGCCTTCGGTGAAA